TAAAAACCTAATTGAATAAGAACTAAATATTTTAAACTATTTTTTAAAATATATTTTTATTAATTTCAGTGAGGAAGGAAGAGGGAGAGAGAGATAGAAACATCAATAATGAGAGAGAATCATTGACTGGCTGCCTCCGCATGCACCCCCACTGGGAATCGAGCCCGCAACCTGGGCATCCCTACTGGGGATGTGCCCGCAACCAAGGTACATGCCCTTGACCGGAATTGAACCTGGGACCCTTGAGTCCGCAGGCTAACGCTCTATCCCAGGGGTGGGCAAACTTTTTGACTCGAGGGCCACAATGGGTTCTTAAACTGGACCGGAGGGCCAGAACAAAAGCATGGATGGAGTGTTTGTGTGAAGTAATATAAATTCAAAGTAAACATCATTACATAAAAGGGTACGGTCTTTTTTATTTTTTAGTTTTATTCATTTCAAACAGGCCGAATCCGGCCCGCGGGCCGTAGTTTGCCCACGGCTGGGCTAGGGCAAGAACTAAATATTTTAAATTATAGTTATTTCTTGTCAAAATCTAACAGGGAACTCAAAATCTAACATAAAAGGGTGCTAGCATTGTCTATCTTACTTTTAGTTCTGACAAATATTTACTGAGAGACCACTGTATACGTGTACTGCCAGATCATTAAAGTTTGTGGCTTTAGGGAGTTTGTAATATAAAGGAATGGTTAAGAGAGATGTGTTTAATATCAATAAAAATGATCTTCAGATTACTTAATTGCATGTTTCAAATTCAAATATGAGTATCAGGGAAATATACATACATATCTCCTTGAGGATATAAGCTTTTACCTTACACAAATAAATTGTTTTTCAACTTTTAAATATATATTTTATTGATTTCAGAGGAGAGAAAGAGAAACATTAATGATGAGAATCATTGATCAGCTGCCTTGTGCACGCCCCCTATTGGGGTTGGAGTCCAAAAAAGGAGCATATGCCCTGACCAGGAATCAAACTATGAGCTCCTGCTTAATAGGTTGATGCTCAACCATTGAGTCTCACCAAGCCGGGCACAAATAAATTTTTCAATGCCTATACACAGAGGGTCTTAGTAAATACTTGCTGTATCATATATGTGTGTGTATTCAACCCCCCAAAGAATGCTAATTTGGAAACATCAAAATAACAAAATCCCCTGGTACATTTGAAAACTACCATTCAATTCATGGTATGGCTTAATATACTAGTAACAGTTCTCAAAATTTAGTGTTTTGAACAAGCTCCTGAGAAACTGATAAAAGTACAGATTCATACTTAGCTCTACAATTTTTGTTCTGTAGCTCTAAAGAAATCTCTAATTTTATAGGTGGCCTAAGGCTATACCTAGATAATATAAAGCAAATCATTTTACATATAAAAAATAAATACAAATATTAAAATAGCAAGTCAATCTATCCAGTTCTGTTTCCTCAAGCACGAGAATGATCAATAAATACTTGAAAATAAATCTGACAGTATCCAAGACGGTTGCTGCCACCACTTCTCCCTTTATTAGTGGGGCCAGAGCACAGTGGCATTTCTCCCAACTCCACTCCCATTTCTCCCAACTCCACTCCCATTTCTCTCCTCCACAGCCATTTTCCAGATACTTGAAAACACATGTACTGCAAAATGTTATACAATTATTAATCATACTGGCAATTTAAAAAATTCTAATCTTTCTCTTTAACTTTCCTAAAATACATAACATAGAAAGTGAGATAAACCAGTTCCTTTAAAATTTAAAAAACTTCTAAAATATTTCCCTTTAATATTATATGAACATTTTATTTGCATAAACTAACTTTTGTTAATAAACTTTAAAATACAATGCTTAATAAGAAATTTATGAACCTGTCTCTCTGAATTTTCTCTAAGCGTTTCAATCGTTTTTTCAAGCTGAGCCTTCTCCTTCATTAGATCCTTGCTTAAATTCTGACAATTCTGAAGACTTTGCTTTTCTTGAACAATCTCATTTTCAAGAATTTCAACCTGGAGAAAATAAGTCACAAAACAATATATCATTAAGTATTTTAAAACAGTGGAACATATCAAAACAAAAGATAACCGTTGAATTAAAAGGTAAAATACAGTTTTAATACCCAAATGGTGATATTTAAGAATTTAGTAGAGAAATTCAAGTAAAATACCATGCTAATTTTAGCAGCTATGTAAAATATGCAGACCTATGTTTCTTATCCTCTGCATCTTTGAAAGTATCTACTTGTAAACACAAAGACAATCCAAGTGAATATATGATAATTATGTGCTATGTGAAGACTGTACAAGTCTTACTGAAAGGCTCTCTTGGCTCGAGTAAAATTGTAAAGTAAAATTTTATAGTCAAGGAATTTTGGTGTAGAAGAAGTAAGAGGAGAATATAAAAAGCATGAAGGAAAAGATGAGAAATAATGGTATAAGTTTAATGAGGAAACAAGAAGGGACTTGGTTTAAAATAAAAAGAAAATGAGGAAAAAGGAGAATACTGGAGAAAAACAGGCTGAACAAAACTCCAACAAATATTTATATTTTGGATTTAAGTTTATTTTCATTTGTACATTTTGAAGATACAATAAAGTATGTGGTTAATAAGTACAATAAGTATGAAAAAACAAATTTAAGTTCAAAATATGCTATAACTGATTTTCCCATTATTATACAACACTAGAGGCCTGGTGCACGAAATTCGTGCACCCAAGGGGGGGGGGGTGTGCCTTAGCCCGGCCTGTGCCCTCTCGCAGTCTGGGGGCCCTTGGGGGATGTCCCACTGAGCAGGCCTAAGCCGTCAGTGGGATATCCTTAGCGCTGCCGCGGAGGCGGGAGAGGCTCCAACCCACTGCCGCTGAGCGCGCCAGCCGTGAGCCCAGCTTCTGGCTGAATGGTGCTCCCCCTGTGGGAGTGTACTGACCACCAGGGGGAAGCTCCTATGTTAAGTGTCTACCCCCTGTTGGTCAGTACATGTCATAGTGATCAGTTGTTCTGCCATTTGGTCAATTTGCATATTAACCTTTTATTATATAGGATATTAATCAAACCAAGTAATTTAAAAAATAAAAAAGATTTATTTATATAAAATATTCTATATAAAATATTTAGCTATATAAAAATATTTAATATTACATCTTTTTATCAATATTGAAGAACTCTAGGAATTTTAACAGTCTATATAAAGCAAGCTGGATTTTTCCTTTTAACATCAATGGAAGATAACCACACATGGAAAATAATCTCCCAATAATGCCTCAAAAGAATCGAGTCACAAATCTTATCCAATAACTCAGTTCAACATTCATTTACATGTTTTAGAAGCTTTTAGTTATAAATAACTAATAAATCTGGTTCTCCCATCATGATTAAAATATATGGATAACAGTTATTTAATTAAGTTCATATGTTGTTTTATATTAGTGGAATTCAAGTGAAACATTTAGTTTACAAAAGACATCTTTTATCCAATGAATTTATGAAAAATTGCAAGAATCATTAAGAACTTACAAGACTTCAAAGCTAATTTCAAAATCAAATTATAATTCACAGATCCAATTATAATGACAACCAAAATAGAAGTGATCCAAGTTCTAAATGGCCACTCCAACTTTAACACTATATTGATTGTCAAATGCTTACTAAGATTATTTGGTTAATAGACTAATGATGATACAAAATGATTTAAAAGAGTAAAAGTCTAGCCCTAGCCGACTTGGCTCAATGGATAGAGCTTTAGCCTGTGGACTGAAGGGTCCTGGGTTCAATTCTGGTCAAGGGCACATGCCCAGGTTTTGGGCTCAATTCCCAGTAGGGGGCGTGCAGGAGGCAGCCGATCAATGATTCTCTCTCCTCATTGATGTTTCTATCTCTCCCTCTCCCTTCCTCTCTGAAATCAATAATAAATAAATAAAAATAAAAGAGTAAAAGTCTTGCAAGAAAATCAAGGGATCTTTCTCATTATCTAAGGCAGTGGTCCCTCAAAGCATGGTTCCAAAACAGCAGGATAAGCATCACCAAGGAACTTCTTAGAAATGAGAATTATTAGCCCCCCACTCCAAACCTACCAAGAACACAAACTCTAGGCATGAGACTCAGCAATCTGTGTTTTAACAAGTCCTACAGGTGATTCTGATGCATACTATAGTTCAAAAATCACTGGTCTAAAGGTTAGGGCGATTTTCATAACAAAGTCTAGAAACACAGAATATTTCAAAGGGAAAACTAGACATGGCTAGGTGCCAAAACATTTTGTCATTGCAGAAAGCAAGGCAGCTCCCAAGGAGTGCGAAGGTTGTGTCATAAGGATGCAGGAAGCAGCTTTATTGGGACAGGAAGAAAAATAAATGCAGTGGACTGAAACACCTTAAATATTTTTAAATCCACGAGTTAATAATGACACTAAAACAACAAACTCACTCAATTATCTCAGGAGGATATGAGACAATCAAGTCATTATTAGGAAACTGGAAAATAAAGGATAGGGTCAAACATTCATCCTGCTTTTCCCATAGGCTGTTCTTTAGAATAACCAATGGTGTTTTCTATAAACTAGTAGCTTTTAAAACAAGATTTTCCTTCATAGGAACACCCTATCTACCACATTAGGAAGGGATGATATAATTAGAAAATCAGATTTTGCAATCTCTCATTAAGGGATCCACGCAAATGATTTTCCATGACAATATCACAAAAAGACAGACAACCAGACATGTGCCTCCTGACTGACATATGTACATACTCCTTATGAATACTTACTAAAAACTCAATTTGAACCTGATTAGGCCTACAGTAAAACACATTAAAAAAACAAGTATAGGAGTTCACTTTACATTTATAAATGTTAAAAAATTTCATAATAAGTTAAAATAATAAATGAGGGCACATTAGAAACTGGAAAATGTTTTACTACAGTGCTATTTATTTATATTTTTACATACATTTTTTAAGATCAAACATTCATTTTTATTTACCTTTTTACTTAGTCTTTGATTTTCTTTTTCAATTTTCAGGATTTTGGAAGTGTTTCCTTCTGCAGAATCCATAGTACTTCGAAGCTCTTCTACAGTTTTTGTCAAACTCTGGTTTTCCATCTCCAACTTCAGTAACCTACTTGATGTCAACTCACTCACCTCATGGCCCAAAGATTTTTGTGGTGCTATAATATTGAAAAATAAGTCATTGGTAAACCTATATTTATTCTTTACTATTTAAAATGTTGAGTGTATATGCAGTACATCACTTGGTCCTTTATAAAAAAATTTATAAAGTTATACAAGATAGACACAATGATAAAAACAGAGATAAAAGACAGGTAAATACTAAATTTTAATGCATCCTTAAG